GTGACTTATAGGTTTCGTTATTTCTATGTATGAATGAAATTTCGTACGGTTGAAACTTTTCGATAGTGAAAAAACAAATTTTATTGTAAATTTATGACTGTCTAATTTTAAATGTGGCTGCGTGTTGATTTCGATTGTGCATTCTGCATGACCTTGTGCTCTCTTGAAATTAAAAATTAAATAAAATCGTTTTAAAAAAAAATTTAATGCACACGCACGCACTCACACACACACATACGCACCTGATACTTAAGAGAAGATTCAAAATTAAAATGTTTATATGCGGAAGTATCGAGTGAAAATTCACCGTTGAAATGAGTTAAACTTTTCGAAGATTTGTTAACCCATTTCAATGTTACTCTCACGTATTCTGGTGTGCTAAAATGATAGGATAATTTAAGATCCGCGGAAAAACTCGACGATCCTCTACTTATGTATCCGAATAGTGTCGTGGATAATTTTTTCGTTTTAAATTCTAAATTAACATCGCATTGATTTATTTCATTTTTTTCTATTATTTTAACAGTTCCCGATAATTCTGCTATACGTTCTTCATTAACGGCTAAATATAATCTCGGTTGATATATGTAACCGTATTTAACTTCTTTCGTTCTTAAACCGATTTGAGCAATGAAATGTTTTTTTCCATTTACGTCCAGTGAAAAATCTAAATATTTTTCTGTCGGAGTGTATTTGTACTTTCCTATAAAAAAAAAAAAAAAAAAGAAAATTTAGTTTTTTACATTCGTATCGCGTGAGATAAAATGAAAAATTATTAAACGCACCGTGAGCTTCAAATTTATTATCGACAGCACGTAATAAAAGTGTTAAATTTCTAGAACTTTTATTTAAAAGTAATCTAGCGCTTAATTCTCGGTTTTGTTGACTGTGAGGAGTATCGTAGACCAATGATATTTTCGTGCTATCTTTTTCTTGTATCCAATTATATTCCAATACGTATTCTTTTGCTGTAGGATCTGCTTTGTATAAAACCAAAGCGAATTTCGCAGGTCCGTTTAATATAAAACTAGGCCAAAAACTTTTGTTATTTTTACGTTTGTCGAGTAAATTTAATTTTATTTGATTATGTTCAATATGTTGAGTCACATTTGGAAAAACAATATCGGCACAAAGTTTCAAACCTAATGTATGATCTAAAGTAGGCCAACTGCAAACTTTTTCCGAAACTTTATTTTCTAAAATTAATTTATTTTTACATATTAGTTTTCATATTAATAAATTTTATAATTTTTTTTTTTTTTTGAAATAGAAAAATTTTATTAATTAATTAATTAATTAATTAAATAAACCTGTTATTCCAGATTGTATTTCTTCTTTATCATTTTTCATAACAATTATATCCGTTTTGGCAGTTATTATATCTGCTTTTTCTTTAGGTAAATTAAATGATAATTTAGCAAAAGTCATTCCTTCGACTTTAACATGGCCGTCTAAAGCCGTCGATGAATGTAATGAAGTTTTTAATTTTATTCCTGTCGATGCGTAATATGCATCGATTCCCATTTGACCGCTGACATCTACTGCCACGCTATTATTATTTAAATAAAAAAAATTAAATTGAATTTTTTCTTTTTCCCCTTCTCCCCTAATTATTTTAAAACTAACCTCGGTCTTAATTTTCCCTGAACGTCTAAAGCCATTAAATGTAAACTTTTAACATTTCCTGCAACGTTAAGACTTACAGCAGCAGTTCCAGTGGCTGCCAATGTAAGCGGAAGTCCTATTCCTGTTGGAACATTATAATCCACATCGAGAAACATTCCAGCTTTATTAAAATTAATTTCTTTACCCGATAAAATTTGTCTTATTCTAAGTTCTGGATTTATTTTGTTTAATAAATTATTAAATTCGGGATGACCAACGACATCGGAATATGATATTTCATTTCCGAAAACTTTCACACCGAGAGAAACCTTAAAAAATACCATTTTAATGTTTTTTATTTTTTTCTAAAATTTTTATTCATTCATTCGTTTAACTTACTTTAGGTAATTTAAAATTATTATCGATAACGTTTGAAAATATTTTATTGGGTTTAAATTCGTCTGCTTGAGAAACGCCACGAATAACTCTCGAAAGTTTATCCAATTTACTACCGACTTCCGTTGAACTAAAAGGACCTCCTGGACCAAATGCATGTTCTAAAACGTGTTCAAAACCTTCTAGTCTTGTTTCAACTTCTAATATATTTACCGATCTACCAAATAAATCAATTGTAAAATTCATCATTCCAGATCTTGGTAAATAAGATTTCGAAGAAAATATAACGTTCGATTCGAAATTTCCACCTCGATTAAAAAAAAAGAAAAAGAAAAAAAATTAATATCAATTTGAAAATATTATAAAATGACTATAATTTACAATGTTAAATCTTACCGACGTTATATTCATCTAAAAATATCGAATATTCATAATTCCTTGAAAATTTCCTTCTGTCCATGTTAAATTTTTCACTTAAATTTTTATCAGTTAACAAACTTTGAATTTCGACTTTATTTAATGCCGATGATTTTAATAAATTATGTAAATGTGACCATACGAAAGAACCCACTGAAAAATTTTTGCGTGCGAGAAAAAAAATTTTAATAATTGATAAATAAATAAATAAAAAAAGTTATTTAAATTTAAATTACCTTGATTTACTTCTTCCGTTTCGAGAGATTTTCTTATCACCGTGGTAACGTAATAGTTTGGACATTTCATAACTTCCAAATAACTGACTATTCTTAATTCGCTGTCGATGCTATCATTTTTATATATATCTAAATAAAAATCTCTTGATTGGGTGCAGGACAATCTTCTGTGCGATTGTACGGCTGCTATTCTAACCGCCATGTTCATTTCGTTATCGTTAATGCAATTTTTTAATTTTTCTTCTAAAGTATGAGTTGTCAATCCTAAATTTCCTAAAGCTTTTAAAACAATCAACATCTGAAAATTAAATTTAATTATTTTTATTTGGATGACGTTATATAATAATAATAATGAAAATTTTTAAACATTACTAGCCTCCGTTTCTGATGTTCTGTTTAATGTGCCTCTAGAACAACCCAAAGTGACTTGTTCTTCGATATAGCTAACAAATTTTTGCACGTTTTCGTTTTTTTGACACGTGGAATTATGTTTACAATACGTGTGAATCAATGAAGAAACGCTAAATATGTACTGAGATTCATTTTTCGTTTTTGGGTGATCTATTAAAGGAACTACCAATTCGATTGTTTCTTCATCTGGTCTTGGAATGAATGATAATGATAAAAGCCATTCGTGTGCAGTCGAATCTGATACGCTATTTTCTAAAATGGCTTCTTTCATAATTGTTATCGCAACGTTGGTACCGATAAATGGAAAAGCATCCGTTACGTGTTTTCTAAAAAAAAAAAAAAACGTTTTAAAACAGGGAATTTTTTTTCAAATGGCGTTTTTGTTAGGCTATTTTACCTTCCCGTGGTACAAATACTTCCGGCTCTTTTATAAATCAAAGAAAGAGCAGAATAAGATAAACGTCTTGCAGTTTGAATAAATTTAGTAAAAGCTTCAGCATAACCATCTTGAACGTCATCAGCATTTAACTGACATAAAAGTTTTATTAAATCTCTCGAAGCTTTGAGTTCTCCGGAGGTAGGTTTTGGAGTAACGGAATGATCGAACAAAAGACTAGTTCTCTTCATAATTTTTTCTTTAAAAAAAAATTATAATTTAATATTTAATAATTTTTTTTTTTTTTTATGTTTATAAAAATGCATTTTTATAAGTATCACCTGGTGATGTAGGATTTTCTTCGGTTTCAGAAACAAGTTTTAAACTTTGTTTTACAATCGTTTGAGAACCATTTTCACCTTTTGAAAATGGTTGAAATGTATGTACTTCTTCGCATATAATACCATCATAAATTTTATGATCTATTGAAAATTCACATTTGTGTCTTGATTTCATTAATGGAATCGTTTGAAAATCCTATTTATTTAAAGAAAAAAAATCATTTTAATAAATTTTGCGTGTGTGTGTGTTTAATTTTTTTAATAAATAAAAAACCTTACCGAACCGAATCTATATCGATTTGCTTGTACGATTGTATGAAAATCATATCTGTTATCGCAGGTATCTAATTTTTTAGCTTTGTGTAAAATTAAAGATGTTCCTTGAGCTCTTTGAAGTCGGTACCTTGTTTGACAATCGCCATTTACATCCGTCTGTCACAAGAAAATTTTCGGTTAAAAAATAAATAAATAAATAAAATGGGGGAAAAAAAAGTTCCATACTTCTACTTCATCTTGTTCTACATCAAATCTCATCATTGTATTATGAAATGATGATAATATTCCACGTTTAAAATTTAGTACCCATACGGGTTCGTTTTCATCCGGGCATATTTCTTCAATGTTTCCATCGTTAAATTTAAATCTTAACGGATATTTTGATATGGCTTCATCGAAATTTTCACTATTTGCATGATTTTCGCTGCTGGTACTGGTGCTGCTGTCTTCATCATCAAAAATATTGAATTTATTTTCAGATAATGCAACATTGTTCACCTAAAGTACGATTAATATTTTTTAAGTCACAAAATAAAAGTCTTTTATTAATAATAATAATAAAATCATACTTACTATCATTTTTCCCTGACAGGGTGAAGTGAAACTAAGTTGTACCTGACTTTTTATAAATAACGTGGACCTATTTTCACTGGTACCACGAAACAATGATGATATTTCAACATTGTAATCATACGTATATCGATTATTTAATGTATAATTAAATTTCGTTCTTTGTTCGCAAGTTGTGAGACCGCATAAATATGGACTTTTTATTAAACCTAATTATTTAATGATTATTTAAAAATTATTTTATGTATATGAAAAAAATTTTTTATTGATCCATAATTTTACATTTAAAAATAAAAATTAATCAAACAAATTATTAATGCTAAATACTTACTCGGTTCAACAAGTCCAAAATAATTAAAAATAAATAAACATAAACAAATAAAGTTAATAATATTGATTTTCATTTTTAAACCATTTCCTAATTACAATGATAAATCAAAAAAAATTTTTTTAATCCATTTAAATAAATCTTAAATAAAAAAAACACCACCACTAACACTTGAATGAGGTCACAACTGTAAAAACTATTATTTTATTTAAAAAAATAATCACATTCAATTTATTCAAACAGAAATAATAATAATAATAATTTTTTTTTTTATTAACTCACAATAATAGTTAAGTGATACTAGTAGTACCGATTTAAAAAAAAAAAAAAATTTTTTTTTGTTGTAACAATTATTTATGGTTAATTAAATATGTTTTAGTTGTAAATAAAAATTATGTGTTGTAATTAAAGTTATAATAATTATTAAATTTTGATTAAATTGAAAAAAAAAAAAAAGGTTCAGTCATTAAATAATAAAATATTAGTTAATAAAAAGTTAAATTAATTATTAATAAAAATTTTAAGTTATTTTTAAAATAAACAATCAATTGTAAAGTTCAACATCATATTAGTACTCATAGAATGTAATTTTAAAAAAAATTAATTAATTAATTATTGATTTAAACCTAATTAATAATTATGCAAGAAAAAAAAATTTTTTTTTAGTTTAGTTAAAAACAAACAAATAAATTTAAGCTTTAATTTTTTTTTTACATAAACTAATTATTAAAAAAAAAAAAAAAAAAAAAAAAGAAAAGTATTAAAATTTTTATTAACTGCACATTAGGTAAAATAATTCACTATAGGTCAACAGAAAATATTAATAGTAATTTGAGGTAGCTTATTTTTTTAATACTAATAAATAATTATTATTAATACTACAATAGAATTAAACTAAAAAAAAAAAAATTTTCTCACTTTATTAAACTTGAAAATTTTTTTGAACTCTTTTTCAAAAGAAAAAACAAATTGTTTTTTTTTTTTTTTTTTTTTTTTGTATTTCCCAAAGAAAATTTAAAGTTTGTTATCGAAATGTGACGGAAGCAAGGGGCCACCAAGGCAAGTTTAATATGACTAAATATTTAATGGTAAAGGTTAAATTAAAATTTAAGATAAATAAGTGCAAGGGTCAAAACCTCACATTCTAACTAATCAAATATTTAAATCTGTAAACATATGTAAACTTAACACAAAAACCAAATTTTTTTTTTTTTTGTTTTTAATTATAAAGAATGTTTTGATTATTTTAAAAATTAATAAATATGCTACACAAATTTATTAAACAATTTTTTTTTTTTATTAAATTTTTATTTATCATATTATTTTACAAAAATTTTTTCTTTTTTAAAATGATTTTTGAAATCTAAATTTTATTAATTAAAAAGAAACTGATTTTTTTTTACAAATTGTTGGGCAATAATAATTAATAATATGGAACAATTTACTATTATTATTATTATTATTATTATTATTTTATTTCTAAAAATAAGTTCTTTACGATGTCTAATGAAAAAACAACCATAAAAAGTAAAACAAGATAGATTTATGAAAAAAAATAAATTTTCAAATCAAACTTTTTTTTTATTAGTTTAATTATTATAATTTCTTGTCAAATGTTTAGAGAGAAAAAAAACGTTTAATTTAAATTAAAATTTATAAAGAGAAAAGTTTTTTTTTTTTTTTACAATTAATAAAATTAATGCGAACAAATATTGTAATATGTACGTACATTTCATTATTAAGTAGTAAAAATTTTAAATGCACTTTAAATGTTTAATCTTTTATAAACATTTTAATTCTTATTTTAAAGTTAATAAGATAATAATAAAGTTAATAATATTCTAATAATAAAGTTTTAATAAGTAAAAATTTTTTTGGTGGGAAAATTTTTACGAAAACTGTTTTTAGTTAAGACTTGGAGGGAAAAATGTCGTGGAAATAAATTATGTTGGCAGCTCCGTTGCAAAAATTTACTTGTTTAAATACATTGTTTAGTAAATGGATAAATTAACCGTAATATCGGGAGCTCTTTTTGTGGCTGCTGATGTTTTTGCTGTAGTTAGTTTGGTTATGCCTGATTGGATTGTGTCCGATATAGGAGGTAAATAATTTTAGCTTTTTCATTTTAATACTTTTTAACTGTGAAAAGAAAAAATTTTTGAAAGTTTTTAAAATCCTTGTTGGTATTCTATGTAATACTAAAATAACTATTCTAAGAAATACTTTTTAATTATTTTATCGTGTATTAATTATTAAGTTATTAAAAATTTTAAAA